AGATCCAGCGCCTGCTCCTTCTCCGGCAGTGGCGTGGGGCCTGGGTGTCGGGGGGGCCAGCAGCCATCGGCGGACATGGGGGCCGGGGCTCTCGGGGGGCAGCGAGCGTCTGGAGGCGGCTCATTCCCCAGGGTCTTCACGCCAGGGGGTTCCTGCCGGCCTGCTGGACAGTGAGACAGGACCAGGCCTGGGCCCCGTGGGGAGGCCCCGGCCTCCACCCCTCCCTGTGCCCCTGGGTGCACAGGGGCTTGGAGACTAGGGGTGTGCTCCAGGGGCACCCCCCCTGCCGTCGGCACTGCCCGGAGGGTCCGGGGCCCCGCGAAGGTGCACAGGGAGGGCCAGGCCTGGGCAGCCCCGTCCCCGGGGTTGGGCGCAGGCAGGCAGGCAGGGGCACCCACAGCTGGCCGGCCGGCCGGCCCCGGCCTCCACCTTCTGCCGCAGGACACACAGGATGGGCTCAATGGCCCCGGGCGTGTTGGCCACCACCCTCCGGATGTCGGCCTCGGCGACGCAGAAGCGGAGCTTGTGGAAGACCTTCCTGCGGAGCAGGGCTGCCTCAGCCTCGCCCGTGGCCGGCCGCAGCCGCAGGACCAGCCGGGCCAGGCCTGCGGCGCCCCCACCCCCACCCCTTCCTCACCTGGGCGGCTGTGTCCCGCCTCTGGGGCGCCCAGGCCCCTCTCCCCCACCCTGAGACAGGTCCTCTGGGCCGGGCAACAGGTGAGCAGCTCTTCCCCAGGGGGGCCCCGGGGCCGGCCCAGACCCCGCCCCTCGGCCTCACTGGGACCAGGCCGCACCCCAGCCCCCACTGCAGCCCCCGCATCCCTGGGCCAAGCCTGACTGCTGGCTGTCACCCTCGGGGCGAGTGTCCACTGTCACAGGCGACACCCTGGGGGCGGGCTCCAGGCCCCCAGGCTGGGGGCGGCCGGCGCGGCCCTGGGGGAGTGGGGGTGCGGGTGGGGCCTGGGGGGCCTGCCTGTTGAGGATGCTCCAGTTGCTGAGCTTCTGGTCCGTGTTGCAGGTGGGGACGTAGTTGTGCAGGTCCACGAGCCGGGGCCGGAAGAGCTTCACGATCTCCGCCAGCATCACTGCGGGAGGCCGGGCGGGTGGGCAGGGCTGGGTGCGGGACGG